ACTAAACCACCATACAAAAGAGGCCCTCTTTGTCTCTTGACCCATAAACCCTTGAAACCAAATGAGTTGATTGATCTTGCATGTTTTTGGTTCACTGTTTTTGCTTAATGAATGTTAAAGGGATTTGCTGATTTGAATGCACTTGTTTGAGTGACTGTGAAGTGGGATTGATGTTGATAAGCATGGTTAAATCTTAATGAATATCTCTCACCTTGTTGCATTCTAGAATCTCTAAGTTGGACATTTAGCAAATCGCTTTTGAGGACATGTTTTTAAGTGTTGAATCAGCTATTTTCAAACCTCATCTCTTTCTTGTTCTATTTGTTTGCTTGAGGGCAAGCAAAGTTCAAGTTTGGGGGTGTTGATGTACTTGCATTTTACATAGTTTTAGCACATCTTTTATGCATCTTTTGCATAGTTTTAGCTTCCATTTGCATCATATCTTGTTCCTTTTCTCTTCTTATGCATTCATGTTAGTTTTAGGTTGCATTTGCATACATATGCATGTTTGGTCCTTTGAAATAGGTCTTTTGGAGCATTCTGGAGCATATGGGACACAAGGAGCATGGAGGGACTTGGCACATGGAAGCAGCTCAACTGGATACGCAAAGGAAGAAGGGAGAAGCCATCTTGAAGACCAGCTCGACCGTCTCGACCAACCGGTCCAAGCTTCAACTCGATCGAGCTGGGGAGTCAAAGTCAAACCCGAAAAATGTTGCTTCCCCCTTGACTTCCCTTTGACCCTAAACCTAATCCTCTTTGTATTTAAAGGCTCTAAGCCACGAAAAAACCACCAAGCTTTAGATTATTTTGTTTTAGTTTCTTTTAATTTATTGTACTTTTACTTTTTAGAGATCTAATCCCATCTTTGTGTTCTTGAAGCTCTTGCTTCTTGAATCCTAGATCCTGGATAATCTCTCTTGTATTTGCACTTGCTTATTTCAATAAAAGTTGTTTAATTTCATCTCCTCTTTCTTATGATGTCTCTTTTATTGCATTTGCTTGTGTTTACATTCATGTGTAGTGAGTAGTTACCCATTGGGGTTTGAGATGGGATAGATTAGAGGTTTCATATGCTTAATCCTTCTAGCTTATGGTCTTAATCTAGATTCTCTCTCTTTTGGATAGATCTTAAGGCTACATGACCACTACCCCTGGCTTGTAAGTCCTTAGGCGACTCCCCACACGAAAGTGATGGCATTCGCTGGAAAAGATCCACTAAGAGCTCCAATATCTCTTGCTCTAGACAATAGAGGTCTAAGGGGTTGGATGGATTAGTTTGGGCAATGATCCTATAGCCTCCAAGGTTTGATTCTCACTGGCTAACCCCCTGTTTCTGAGATCATTCCTTGGTTGATAGCCTCCACCTTGGGAAAGGGTTGGCTAGGCATTGAGAAGCCCAATATCAAGAGAAGCCTTGATACAAGGAGTTTTAAGAGCTAGATTGATTAAGTGTAGATTCCTTTGATTGCAAAACCCTGTCTTGAACCCTAATTCTCTCTTTATCTTGTTAAAGTCGTCACCTTTAGCTTTGTTTGTCTCAACTCGTCCCTAAACTCGATCGAGCTGGTACTTTGCTCTACTCGACTCGAGCTCTTGGTCGAGCTGACACTTCACTGCTTTTTTACTTTTATTGCACTGCTTTTCATTTTTTTAGGTTGTTAGTGTTACTTCAAATCTATAACTGCTTGCTTGACTTTCAGGTTGTTTCATATTCTCAAAGAGTGACAAGTTTCCCATTTTGGATTGATAACCTCTTATACTTCAATGACTATGATGGTTAAGAGGAATTGATTGATTGTGATTGCACCATACCATATCATCTTTATTCACCCTGTTTGCATTCCACCTCATTTCATATCACACACACAAATCCTATCATCAACAAGGTTGATCATTCCCAGCTTGATCTCAAAGTTGTGGTTCTGCACTGGTGGTGGAACAATCCCTTGTCTCTGTTGGTGGCGGTTTGGAGCATCTCCTTGACCAATCGGTCGAGTTTGCCTAGCTCGACCGAGTCCATTCCCAAAGGGTTTCCATTCCCCTCTGGTACATCCATTGTATCAGCAACAAGCACCTCAGGTTCCTCTTGTACCCTCTGTGACCTCTGAACCCTCTTTCTACCCGTTGTAATGTCTAGCTCGACCAAGTCTTCAGTCTCGATCGAGTTCGCATGCAAAAAGAGACAAAAACCCAGCAGTACAATAGAACAGGGGTGGTATAGCTTGATCGTCCAAGTGTGTTTGAAACTCAAATGCAACAAAAATATTCCCAAATCGGCAACGGCGCCAAATTGATGATAGGATTTGTGTGTGATATGATATGAAAATGAAAGATGAGGTGGAATGCAAACAGGGGTGAATAAAGATGAAATGGTGCAATCACAATCAATCAATTCCTCTTAACCATCATAGTCATGTAGTATAAGAGGTTATCAATCCAAAATGGGAAACTTGTCACTCTTTGAGAATATGAAACAACCAGAAAGTCAAGCAAGCAGTTAATAGATTTGAAGTAACACTAACAACCTAAATAAAATGAAATGCAGTGCAATAAAAGTAAACAAAGCAGTGAAGTAGCAGCTCGACCAAGAGCTCGAGTCGAGTCAGAACAAAGTACCAGCTCGATCGAGTTTAGGGACGAGTTGAGACAAACAAAGCTAAAGGTGACGACTTTAACAAGATAAAGAGAGAATTAGGGTTCAAGACAGGGTTTTGCAATCAAAGGAATCTACACTTAATCAATCTAGCTCTTAAAACTCCTTGTATCAAGGCTTCTCTTGATATTGGGCTTCTCAATGCCTAGCCAACCCTTTCCCAAGGTGGAGGCTATCAACCAAGGAATGATCTCAGAAACAGGGGGTTAGCCAGTGAGAATCAAACCTTGGAGGCTATAGGATCATTGCCCAAACTAATCCATCCAACCCCTTAGACCTCTATTTCTAGAGCAAGAGATATTGGAGCTCTTAGTGGATCTTTTCCAGCGAATGCCATCACTTTCGTGTGGGGAGTCGCCTAAGGACTTACAAGCCAGGGGTAGTGGTCATGTAGCCTTAAGATCTATCCAAAAGAGAGAGAATCTAGATTAAGACCATAAGCTAGAAGGATTAAGCATATGAAACCTCTAATCTATCCCATCTCAAACCCCAATGGGTAACTACTCACTACACATGAATGTAAACACAAGCAAATGCAATAAAAGAGACATCATAAGAAAGAGGAGATGAAATTAAACAACTTTTATTGAAATAAGCAAGTGCAAATACAAAGAGATTATCCAGGATCTAAGATTCAAGAAGCAAGAGCTTCAAGAACACAAAGATGGGATTAGATCTCTAAAAAGTAAAAGACAATAAATTAAAAGAAACTAAAACAAAATAATCTAAAGCTTGGTGGTTTTTTCGTGGCTTAGAGCCTTTAAATACAAAGAGGATTAGGTTTAGGGTCAAAGGAAAGTCAAGGGGGAAGCAACATTTTTCGGGTTTGACTGTTGACTTCTCAGCTCGATCGAGTTGAAGCTTGGCCGGTCGAGTTGAGGAACTCGACCGGTTGGTCGAGTAGACGGTCGAGCTGGTCTTCAAGATGGCTTCTCCCTTCTTCCTTTGCGTATCCAGTTGAGCTGCTTCCATGTGCCAAGTCCCTCCATGCTCCTCATGTCCCATATGCTCCAGAATGCTCCAAAAGACCTATTTCAAAGGACCAAACATGCATATGTATGCAAATGCAACCTAAAACTAACATGAATGCATAAGAAGAGAAAAGGAACAAGATATGATGCAAATGGAAGCTAAAACTATGCAAAAGATGCATAAAAGATGTGCTAAAACTATGTAAAATGCAAGTACATCACAGCCTCCTCCATTGGCACATCCTCTTCATCATCTTGCACATTTTCATCAACTTCATCATCCTCTTCTTCTCCACTCTAACTTTTTTTACCTTGAGCGGTTTCTCCAATCTCAAACTCTCCCTGTTCTTCTTCACTCTCTGTTTCCAATTCTGACTGCACATAACCCTCTGCATCATAATCTTCTATTCTTTGCATCATTCCCTCCAAATCCGCTATCTTCTTTTGCCTCCTATGGGTTGCATTGCTACCTTCACTGATAAACTCTTCCCAAGGGGTCGGCACTCTAGAGTTGGTAAAAGGGATAAGCCTTCATTCAACAGGCTGGGAAGCCACGAAGAACAAGGATATGTGGATTGAATGGCTGAACAGAAGCTGCGGAAGGCTCCTGATATACCGGCGGATCGATTCTCTGGATATTACACACCAAAGGGGATCGACAGCTTGCTGGATATGACACACCAACAAGGAATGGATAGAGATGGATTGAGAGACGCCACAAAGATCTGTGAAAGGATCTCTGATAAGTCTTAAACAGCCAGGAACATAGATATGACACACTATGAACATGGAGTTCCAAAAATAACAAGACATCACATCTTGAAGGAGAGAAACTTCTCTGATTTTTACTGAAAACAAACTTATTTTTATTCATGATTTTGAGCTCTATATATAGAGAATTACAACTCATTTTCGTCATAACTAAGAGCTTAACATGCAGAGCACTTAGAGAAATGAAGTTTGACTCAAATCTGCATGTAAGAGAGAGAAATAGACATCATTAAATGTGGTCTTTGTTGAGGCTCGAAATATGATCTTCCTTGATAGCTTTTGGGCTGAATCAAACTTCATGGGCTTCTCTGATGGATCTAGTTTGTAGAATGACTTGGTTTGTAGCTTAACTCGCTCTGGCCTGGTCGGAATCCTTCATTGAATGCATATAGGACAAAATCGAGTAAACCGGAAATCACCTGATTTGTAAATTGAATAACTCCTTCGTTTGAACTCGGATTACGATGATTATTCTTTGAGGTGTTCTGGAATCGAGCTGAGTACAATCTCGAAGTAATTTCGTTTGTTTATTCGTCGTGGTTGAGAAGATACGCATCGAACAGTGAACACATGTCCTTTCGGGTCTTGTTGAAGTCTTGCATCCGGTTTGATTGAGCTCTGATTCAGCTGCTGGTTTAATGACCTTATCATCATATTTTTGCTACCCTCAATAATCATATCATACTCCCTCTCTTAAAAAAAATATTTGCCCTCAAATCTTGCTCTTTATTGAAAATAAACTAAAAGAAGATGAAGAGGTGAGAAAAAGAAAATAGAAAGAAAACCAAACCCAAGAGTGTGCTCTGATACCAAATGATGAACTCTTCCCAAGGATGGGGCACTCTAGAGTTGAGGTTGGATAGATTTGTCTAGAAGCCGTGATGATGGAAGGAGTTGAATGGTTGAATGGTTTGATTCAGAGATTGCGGAAAGATCTCTAAAACACCAACCTGAAGACTCGCTAGATATTACAAACCAGGAGTGAACAGGGCTCGCTATAGACTCATTGGATACTACACACCAAGAGTGAATAGGGTTCTCCATGGATTTGACACCATAGAGAAGTGATCCAAGAGTTTGAAAGGGGTTTGATAATAAAAACTTGGATAATTTTATTCATGATTGCAGTCTCTATATAGAGAGAAATTACAAGTATTTTCGTCCTAGTTAATAGCCTAACGTGCAGAGCTTCTTGGAAAATGAATTACAACTCTAAACTGCATGTAGGAGAGAGAAACATGTCTTCATTATTGGAGTCTCTTGCTGAGGACGAAACTTGACCTTCCTTGATGTCTTTTGGGCTGAATCCAACTTCATGGACTTCTCCGATGGATCAAGATTGTAGAATGAGTTGGTTTGTAGCTTAATTCATTATGGCTTGGTCAGAATCATTCATTGAATGCACACATGTCCGAATCAAGTAAACCGGAAATGACCCGTCTTGTAAATTGAATAACTCCTTCGGTTCAACTCCGCTTGAACTGATTTTTGTTCGAGGTGTTCTGTAATTGAGCTGAGCATATTCTCCAACCGGTTTCATGTGTGGAATCGTCGTGGTTGTGAAGATAAGATTGGAACAGTGAACACACCCTTCCTTGCTTCTGCCCATAATCATATCATTCTCCCTTTCTTGAAAAAGATTTGCCCTCAAATCTTGCCCTTATTTGAATATAATCTAAAAGAAGATGAATAGATGAGAAGGATGATAAAGAACGAAAACCGAACTCCAGAGTGGGCTCTGATACCAAATGATAAACTCTTCCCAAGGGGTCGGCACTCTAGAGTTGGTAAAAGGGATAAGCCTTCATTCAACAGGCTGGGAAGCCACGAAGAACAAGGATATGTGGATTGAATGGCTGAACAGAAGCTGCGGAAGGCTCCTGATATACCGGCGGATCGATTCTCTGGATATTACACACCAAAGGGGATCGACAGCTTGCTGGATATGACACACCAACAAGGAATGGATAGAGATGGATTGAGAGACGCCACAAAGATCTGTGAAAGGATCTCTGATAAGTCTTAAACAGCCAGGAACATAGATATGACACACTATGAACATGGAGTTCCAAAAATAACAAGACATCACATCTTGAAGGAGAGAAACTTCTCTGATTTTTACTGAAAACAAACTTATTTTTATTCATGATTTTGAGCTCTATTTATAGAGAATTACAACTCAGTTTCGTCATAACTAAGAGCTTAACATGCAGAGCACCTAGAGAAATGAAGTTTGACTCAAATCTGCATGTAAGAGAGAGAAATAGACATCATTAAATGTGGTCTTTGTTGAGGCTCGAAATATGATCTTCCTTGATAGCTTTTGGGCTGAATCAAACTTCATGGGCTTCTCTGATGGATCTAGTTTGTAGAATGACTTGGTTTGTAGCTTAACTCGCTCTGGCCTGGTCGGAATCCTTCATTGAATGCACATAGGACAAAATCGAGTAAACCGGAAATCACCTGATTTGTAAATTGAATAACTCCTTCGTTTGAACTCCGATTACGATGATTATTCTTTGAGGTGTTCTGGAATCGAGCTGAGTACAATCTCGAAGTAATTTCGTTTGTTGATTCGTCGTGGTTGAGAAGATACGCATCGAACAGTGAACACATGTCCTTTCGGGTCTTGTTGAAGTCTTGCATCCGGTTTGATTGAGCTCTGATTCAGCTGCTGGTTTAATGACCTTATCATAATATTTTTGCTACCCTCAATAATCATATCATACTCCCTCTCTTAAAAAAAAGATTTGCCCTCAAATCTTGCTCTTTATTGAAAATAAACTAAAAGAAGATGAAGAGGTGAGAAAAAGAAAATAGAAAGAAAACCAAACCCAAGAGTGTGCTCTGATACCACTTGATAAATCCCTTGTAAAGAATCGACACTTTGAAGCAAGTAGAGGTTGAATTGTAGCGATGGAGTGAATGGATTCAAAGAACTTGGCGAAATGGATTGAGATGGTGAAATGATGAATGGATCGATGGAAAGTGATAGATGAGGATGGATTGAATGGCTATACCAGAGATCCAATGGAAAGGAATCTCCAACACCACCTCTAAAATAGTTTATACAACTCACAACTAATCTAAAGGGATTTCTCGGATTCAACACACCAAGAGAAAGGGTTCTTAGAATCACACTAAGAGATCTTTGAGTAAACAAAGGAAAAAGGTTTTTCATTCAAGGTTGCATAAACTGAAAGGAAGATTCGTCCAGAACATATAAAGGGAGAGAAGAGAAAAGAGAAATAAAGAGTCTAGTCTTGGAACATGCTCCAAAGACTATCTAGGAAAAGCAAACATAATTAAAACAAAGTTTGAACACAAATATTACCCTTGGTCTTCATGGCCACGTTTTTAGTCTTCATTATTGATGGGCCTTGGTCTTGATCAGCTAAATGGGTGATTTGTATGTGACCCATTTGCCTCATTAAAAACCTTGTCAAGAAAACCCATTGGGACAAAACTTGACAAGGGAAAAAGGGTACAAATGAGACACATGCCCATTTGCTGATCTCTTGAGCTTGGATCAAAAACCAGGGAGGTTTAGGATCAGGTTGTCTCCATTTTAGCTCAAGATTAACTCTGTAATGAGTAACCAATTCCATTGGTGCAGCTAAAGCTTCCTCAGCTACAAGCTCCGGTTCAAGCTCATCCTCAGCTACTAGCTTTCTTCCCTCACGTTCAAGCTGCTCCACTGGTTCAAGCTCTAAGTCCTTAACTCCATCAGGTTCAAGCTTAGGTCCATGCTCCTTGACCTTGGCGCTGGCCATAATCATATCATTCACCCTCCAGCATTCCTCCTTGTGTTGCATAGCTTCCTTCACCTCGTGTCATCTTGGTTATGTTGCTCTACCAACTAGGTTCCCTGAAATTCATCAAAGGTTCAAAGAATTAGAGTTGCAATGAATGATTGGTCAACTCGACCGACTAACTTGATCGAGTCAAGTAACTCGGGCAACACACTCGATCGAGCTAGGTCGAAACAGAGTAAGACCAAATCAAAATTAGGGATTCAGAGCAGGATAGGATGCTAAACAATCAAATTGAACTAAGAACAATATGCGTCATTAGTAAAGATTAAAGCATCCTAGCCAATACCAAACTCAAATTCAAAGGACGAAGCACATGCAACAACTTCGAAGGTCAAACATTGGTGAGATGAGACAAGTTCATGAATTTCTCTAAATAAAAGAGGTTTATGAATGCAACAACTCAAGAACAAGCTCATATAGTGATGTGGATTAAGTTTTACCCAATCCTATTACTAGATACCGCAAGTGCACGGATCTTTGGTAGTATGGGTTATCAAATACAAGGACCAGATAAGCTACACTATGAGTTTATGAGATTTAAATCAAGCTAGGACTTGATATACCTCTATTTTACATGCTTTTTATACTGTTTTAATATGGGTTTCTGATGGTTTTTAGCAGGTTTTCTATCTAAAAAGGTAGGTTTATTGGATTTATAGTACTTAGAGTCTAAACAGGTGAAATGATGCATTTTGGAGCAAAACCATAGGATTTTCACTTCAAGCTGTTCCATACCGAAGCATCAACTTTGAGAAGGCCTAGAAAAACATCTACTCAATGGATTTCATCAAGACAACTTCGCCGCGTGCTCTGAGTGAGTTAACTTTCCAAAGCAAGTGGTTTGGCATCATTTGGGATGACTAGAAATGAAGTTATGATCAAATGAGTGAACACTGGTCCGGACGGCTTTATCGAGCATCCGTGTTCCATCCCGCCTAGTGCACAGCCGAGCTCACGTACCGACCCGAGAAGCAATGTCCCGCGGTCAAGCCGTTCAAGCCTTTGCCACCATAAGCCGGGCACGACCGCACCGCGCGAACCGGGAAGCATCGCCTCGCGGCCGTGCGGCACAACTCACGTCCCACGGCCGATCACACCGTTGATATACCTCTAATTTACCCACTTTTTATACTGTTTTAGCATTGTTTTCTAATGGTTTTTGGCAGGTTTTCTATCTAAAAAGGTAGTTTTACTGTGTTTATAGTGTCTAGAGTCTAAACAGGTGAAATGATGCATTTTGGAGCAAAACCATAGGATTTGCACTTCAAGCAGCTCCATGCACAAGCACCAACTTTAAGAGGGCCCAGAAAAAGATCTACTCAATGGATTTCATCAAGACCAGTTCCCTGCGTGCTCTGATTGAGTTAACTTTCCAACGCAATTGGAATGGCCTCATTTGGATGAGTAGAAAAGGAGTTATAACCAAAAGAGTGAAGACTGTCCAGACGGCTCTATCGAGAATCAGCGCCCAACCGCGCAGTCCGGCTGGCCGAGGAACGATGTTCCGCGCTCGGCCAAACTCGTCCGTCCGACTGAAGTCTCGGCCAAAGTCCAAACCACTCGGCCGATCACGCATCACGACCCGGGAAACATGCCCGCGGTCGGCCACGCCACAACCCACGCACACCGCGCACGACCAAAGCGCGCGAGCCGGGAAGTAACGCCTCGCGGCCGCGCAACTCCTCGCGTACCGCGCACGAACGCTCCGTCCGACCCGGGAAACTCCCGCGTCCGGCCGAAGATTTCATCGGCCAAATTCCAACCGGCCGACCGACAACATCCGACCCCGACCGTTCCGACTCGGCCACGACCCGATTGTCCGGCCGATCGTCCCGCACGACCGTCCCAACGCCGCGGTCGACCCGAAGCCCTTTTTGAAGCCCAAACTTATGTTTTCAAGCCCGGCTTAACCCTAGCCGCCTCTAGAAAGACCTAGCACTATATATATGGATTTTTAGCCTCTTGAGAAAGAGAGCCGCCCTGTATTTCGATTTCCTACTCTAAGTTTTATTGCAATCATGTTTTCTTCATCTCTATGTGTGTTTGCTTTGATCATGTCTGAGTAATCCACTAGTTAGGTTGCTAGGGTTACTATTCAATGAGTTGCTTGCATGATCTTTGATTTCAATGATTAGCTAGGGATTATATTAGAGTCTTTGTCTCGTCTTGTGCACTTAACTAATGCTGATTGCTTTACCGCGCATCTAGTAATCCGATCTTAGGTTGATTTGAGCCTCGACAGTGCTGTATCATTCGCCGGACATATTCTTTGACAAGCTAGGTTTCTTAGACTGCGAAAGTTGATCTATCTATATCTAGTGAACTGTATCAGAACCTATTCATTCTAATGCTTGATCTAATCACCTAGGGACATACCAAAAGTTTAGCGACTAGGTAGATTAGCAAAGGAGCCGGAGCCTCGAAAGTGGAATGGTTTTATATTCGTGATCTGTGTTCTAGATGGTTCTTAATATCCCAATATCCCTAATCAATTAATCTATCATTGTTTCATTGATCATTGCTTGCTTCTCTGCGATAGCCCCTATGACCTAGCGCTTTTCCTTTATTGCTTACAACCTCGTTATACTTGCTAGTTCGGTTCACCATTACAACCTCAATCATACTTTTGTTTTAGCTTGATCCAAAATCCATAGTTACAAAGTGTACTCAATAGCCAGTCCTTGTGTTCGATACCCATACTTCCGCGATCTGTGCACTTGCAGAGGTCTAGGAGTTTGGTAAAACCTGACTCCGCATCAAGTTTTTGGCGCCGTTGCCGGGGACTGCAGCAGTACCTTTGGAACTCGACTAGGATCTAGTCTAGAACCTTTTCCTGTTTTACTTTTCTTTTGCTTTTGAATTTTCAGTTTTTGATTTCCTTTTCTTTGATTTTTACTTTTGTTTTTGTTTTTCCCTTTTAGTTTAACTTGTTTCCAAGACTCTTTTCAGGTGCATGACTAGGAGGTCCAACAAGGACAACCTAGTTGAACATCCAGAGATAGACAAGCTTGAGAAGCAACTTAGGAAGCAGAAAGCCCAAGAGATGGCCGACGAAGCAGCTCGCGCTCACGCCGCTGAAGTGGCGCGCGCTCAAGAAGAAGGAAGAGATCCACCTCCTCCTCCTCCTAATCCACAAGACCCTGCTGGAGATGTGAACGCACAACCCCAAGCTGGAGCACCTACAATCGGAGACTATGACTCTGCCGATGCTTTCTTCATGGATAGAAACCCTATCCATCCACCACCACCTGCAAGGAATGACTATGAGATCAAGCCTCAGATCATTGCATTGGTTAGACAGAACCAATTCAATGGACTTCCAGCTGAGCACCCTCTTGATCACATAGAAAACTTTGAAGAAATTTGCAGCACTACAAGATCCAATGGAGTCTCTGCTGACTACCTTAAGTGCAAGCTCTTTTCATTCTCTCTTGGCGACAAAGCTTCAAGATGGTTGAAGTCTCTGCCAGCTCACTCCATCACCACTTGGGATGAGTACAAGGCTGCATTCATCAACCACTTCTACACCAAACAGAGATCAATTTCTGTGAGAAACAAGATCTCCACTTTCGCCAAGGCAACAATGAGTCTTTCTATGAGGCGCTAGATCGATTCAAGGAGTACATTAGGGACTGCCCTAATCATGGTTTCAATGAGGGAAACCTATGGAACATCTTCTATCGTGGCATTGACCACAAGTACAAGCTTTCATTGGATACAGCAAGCAATGGAAACTTCATGACCAAGACTGTTGATGAAGCTAAGGTTCTTATTGAGAATCTTGCAGCTAGTGATTGTAACAACTGTCCTGATTATGACCGCTCAAGCCGCACCACTACTAGCTCCCCTGATTCTTTTCAAATGACTGAACTCAAGAACATGATGGCTCAAGTTCTTAAGGGACAGCTCAAGCATATCAATGCAATAGAAGGGATGAGTGATGCTAATGAAGATTCATCAAGAGAATGCATGGGAGATTTCTCTAATGAAGCCAATGAAGAAGATGTGAACTACATTGGAAACTATGGGAACAAGGGATACAATCCAAGCTATCGCCCAAACCCCAACATGTCTTATAGAAACCCCAATGTGGAGAATCCTCAAGACCAAGTGTATCCTCCAAGGTATCCACAACAACAAAGACCTCCTTACCAATCTCAAGGAAGTCAATTTCAGCCAAGGCAAGGATATGAGCAGAGATCATCATATCCGCCCAAGGAGCCATATGCTTCTTCACCAAATCAAGCTCCTCCAAACCAACAAGGTGGGAGATTTGAAGGAATCCTCCAACAGATCATGGATGGCCAGAAGAGAAACACTAAAGAGATGTATGAGAAGATGGACACTTTGTTCAGCAATCTCAACACCAAGTATGATGCTGTTGCCACTCATGTGAAGAAACTAGAGACTCAAGTCACTCAAACTATGGAAGCTGTTAAGAGACAGGAAGCTGAATCCAAGAAGTCCTTTTGCAACTCAGCCGCCATAGAAGAAAGATTTGAAGACCAAGTTCCAGAATGGATGCTTTCAAAACCTACTGTTGATTGCATGATTTGGCCTGAAGAGAATTACCCAGAGAGAGAGTCCAATCGAGCTAGAAAGAGAAGACTCTTCCCAAAGATTATCCCCAAGACAGATAACTCAGGAAAGTTTGTTGTGCCTTGTATCATCAAAGGTAACATTCTTGAGCAATCTTTGTGTGACACAGGAGCCAATGTGAACATCATGTCTAAGAGGATAGCTGACAAGATAGGCCTCACCAAGATAGAGCCATCATCCATCTCCATCAACTATGCTGATTCATTCTCACAAACACCCTATGGCTTTGTGCCTAATGTGATGGTGCAGATTGGAAATTGCTCTATCCCTACTGATTTCCAGATTGTGGAAATGAGAGAGAGTAGCCATAGACCTCTCATATTTGGAACCCCTTTCCTGTCTACTGTGGGTGCCATATTTGATTTCCCCAATCAAAGAATCTCTTTCAACAAGGTGAACAAGGGTATGTTCTTCCCTATGTGTTCAACAAAGAACTCTTTTGTTGACATGGTCCAAGAGGAGAAAGCTACTTTGAAGCCACCCCAAGAAGGAGAAACTGAAGAAACAATCAAGGAAGATCCCATTCCTAAGCCCAAGCAGCTTGCCAAACAAGCAAGGAGTAAGACTAAGGCCCCTACACCAAAACCGCCCAAGGGATCAACCAAGATTGAAGATGAGGCCAAGCCAAGAAGGAAGGTTAGAAAGCCTAGGTCTGGCCGCAACATGAAGCTTCTATTCCCAAGGAGCTTATTGATGAGAATCTAGAAGGATTCAAGGAGAGAGTGACAAGAACTCTAAAGCTTTTTCCTAAGGCAGTAGTGCCAAGGGACATTCATGGAGAGATTGTCTATCCAGCTGTGAATCACCCACCAGATACTCATTGCAAGGAGAAAAGACTTGGAGGATCAAATGCCTCTTGTCTCCATCTTCTCCTGAGCGCCAAGCCTTACAGTCAAGCTAAAGACTTAAAACAAGCGCTGCATGGGAGGCAACCCATGAGGTACTTTTACTTTTCTTTCTTTAATTTTCTTAGTTTTTGTTTTGCTTTTGTGTTTTCTTTGTTTTAAGATAGGATAGAAGGAGAAAAAGGTGTGAAAACACAATCCGCGCCAAAACATTGGCCGCGGACGCGCAAAAGAATTTTGGCCGAGCAATTCTCATCTGGCCGACCGTTACGGTCGAGCCGGGAAGGAATAGCTCGTGCTCGGCCGGATTCACTCATTGCGCGACAGAAACGTTCGCGCGACAGCACGAACCGACGCGAACCGGACGAACGCGATCGCGCTCGGATTTTGTATCGGAACGGACCGACCGTGCCGGTCGATCCGGGAAACAAATCGGCCTCGGCCGAAATCTCTCGGCCAAAACAAATTTGGCCGACCAAATCGCTCGACCGCGACAAAATCCATCGGCCATCGGCCCAAAACTTTTCTAGGCCAAGGTAAGTCCCCTTTTCATTAATTCAAACCGGTTTTAACCAATCTAAACCAACTTAAACCGGTTTTCAATCAAAATTCGAATTTGAAAAGGAAAATTGATAGGATTTAGATCTTATTTACTTCACCTTTCCCTTGAAAACCACAAGAACCTCTCTTTCTTCTCCAAAACCCTAAACTCCATTAGAGGAACTCTAAGAGTTTTGATTTCAAAACTTTTACTGTTCATAACTCTAAATTGGAATTTACTTGCTCTTGCAACCTTATTCACTTTTCAACACACAAGGTATGTCTTCTAACTCTAATCCTATGTTTATGCAAGATCGAAAATCTCAATAAGTTTCATGTTTGGTCTAAACTCTTGTCTAGACTTGAAATTAGCATCCTTATAGTCTTGTAATGAACTTTGCTAGGTGGAACCTAGGTGGTTTAGAGTTAATTTGAAGTTTAATTTCACAATTGAATAGTTTTTCACAAAACTTATTGGGCATTCCAAACCCCTTATTCAAAGGTGAAATTGCTTGGGCATACTTCAATTCATTAGTTTATCTAGTGATTACTTGGATTAGAAACTCAATTTCTCTTGATTTGCTGAAAATTTTGATTTTAAGCACCATAATCTTGGGATGAACAGTAAAATCCGAAAATTAATTTTGAAAAAGTGAAATTTCTATTTTGTCTCTTTGATTCATGATTAAGCCTTGAGTTGTTCCTTTATTCCATATCATTATTACAACTCAATTAGCTTATTCTTCTTTTGCATTAATCACAAACTCATATTTCTTCCCAAGAATTTGCTCTTGTAGGTACACAATGGCAAAGACAAAAGGAAATGAGAGTATGAAGAAGAAGAAGAACCCATTCATGGAACCACCAAAGAAGCAAATCAAGCTAGGGAGTAGTAGCTCCAATGCAAGAGCAGAATACCAACTTCACCACATTCCATTGATGCAATCAAGAACATGTGGAGAGTCCAAGAAGAGAGAAGATGATTGGGCACTTGTAACCTTTGTTGGAGAACAAAATCAAGACCCAAGAAAGTGTAAGAAGGCAATGGAGAAGGTGAACATCGAGCCATGTGTGAAGATGGACACCCAAACCCTTGATCTTCTCAAGATAAGAGATGATGTCACATGGTACATAAGGAAGCTAGGCTTGAGCAAGCTCTTCAAGCTAGAATGTAGTGAGTACTCACAACTCACCAAGGAGTTCCTCTCTACAGTAGCTCTTGCCTTTCCCAACCACAATGGAGACCAACCAGCTGGTGATGGACTCCTACTCTTCAAGATAGGCGATGCCAATGGGCGCATCTCCATCTCAGCTCTATGCCAACTCTTTGGACTTCCCAATGAGACAGCACATGACTTCAAGGAGAACTCAAAGAGGAAACAAGCTGCCTTTGCTGATTGGACACACTTTGCCAATGAACCATTCTTGCCTTCAAGGTCAAAGGTGTCTAGAATCACTCATCCAGCCATTCGCTATGTGCACCGCCTCATCTCCACCACTTTCCAATGCAAACAAGAAGCCAACAAGGTCACAACTGATGAGTTCTACATCCTCACCACACCATTCATCAAGCATGAGTACAAGGCCAACCTTGGACTTTTACTTGCCAAGACATTCATCAATGTGAGGAAGCTAGCTAAAGACTTGGAAGGCAACAAGAAGCTTTGTGTTCGTTTTGGGAGGCTTATCACGGCCATAGTACTGCATGTGGGGATTGACATTCCCAACTATGAGCCACTACCCAAGCCAACCCCTTTGGATCTCCATGCTCTTCAGCACATCCACTTCCTAAACCGTTGGACTAAAGACCCAACTCGGTTTTGCTATGAGTTTCCAATTGGTCCAGCCAACACTTCCCTTGTCTTGCTGCCACATGAGACATCCCAAGCCTACGCTCAGGAGTTGTCACTTTCCAGCCCAATGAGGAAGATTCTATGTTCCATCAAGTGAGAAACCATCATTCCCCATGCTCACCTATCGCACACTTCAGCATGCAGTCAAGACTCAACGCCGCATCCAAGAACGCCATGTTCTCACTACTGGCATGGCTGCGCACCAAGCTCTAGACCGTGTTAACAAGCTGGAGAAGATAGTGGAATGCCAATCTCGCTTCATCTCGCGCCTAGTCCGCGTAGTTCGCCACATTGCACCGGAGAGACTCTTTCGCCCTTCTTCCACCGCTAGAGAGCCATATGAGCCTGACCTTGGTGAGTTCTCACTAGACTCAGAGCTTGGTTCAGAAGGCGATGACCCCATAGATGAGGAAGAGAGTTCTTCTCACTGCCACACATAGTCATCTCAAGTGGTACTTAGTGCAATGGACACTTACAAATCTCCATTTTCTATCCCTATCTTATTTTAATGAATTTTTCTTTATTTTTCTTTTACTTTGAATATTACCTCTCACCTTAATGTGATTTGCTTTCACCGGGACGGTGCAAGTTAAGTCTGGGGGGAGTTTTATTGTGTTACTAATGCATTTTTCTTTCTTTTCTTATGTTTTATTCACTTTGTTTCATGTTTTTCAAAAAGTTTTATTGAGTCAAAAACCAGTCCGGAAGTTATGAACTTGCTTTGAGAATTGAGAGTGTTATGCTAACAATCCATGACCCTAGAGCAGAAACCAGCTAAAGGCACAAGCACCAACTTTAAGAGGGCCCAGAAAAAGATCTACTCAATGGATTTCATCAAGACCAGTTCCCTGCGTGCTCTGATTGAGTTAACTTTCCAACGCAATGGAATGGCCTCATTTGGATGAGTAGAAAAGGAGTTATAACCAAAAGAGTGAGACTGTCCAGACGGCTCTATCGAGAACAGCGCCCAAACCGCGCAGTCCGGCTGGCCGAGGAACGCATGTTCCGCGCTCGGCCAAACTCGTCCGTCCGACTGAAGTCTCGGCCAAAGTCCAAAACCACTCGGCCGATCACGCATCACGACCCGGGAAACATGCCCGCGGTCGGCCACGCCACAACGCCACGCACACCGCGCACGACCAAAGCGCGCGAGCCGGGAAAACGCCTCGCGGCCGCGCAACTCCTCACGTACCGCGCCGAACGCTCCGTCCGACCCGGGAAACTCCCGCGTCCGGCCGAAGATTTCATCGGCCAAATTCCAATCCGGCCGACCGACAACATCCGGCCCCGACCGTTCCGACTCGGCCACAACCCGATTGTCCGGCCGATCGTCCCGCACGACCGTCCCAACGCCGCGGTCGACCCGAAGCCCTTTTGAAGCCCAAACTTATGTTTTCAAGCCCGGCTTAACCCTAAGCCGCCTCTAGAAAGACCTAGCACTATATATATGGATTTTTAGCCTCTTGAGAAAGAGAGCCGCCCTGTATTTCGATTTCCTACTCTAAGTTTTATTGCAATCATGTTTTCTTCATCTCTATGTGTGTTTGCTTTGATCATGTCTGAGTAATCCACTAGTTAGGTTGCTAGGGTTACTATTCAATGAGTTGCTTGCATGATCTTTGATTTCAATGATTAGCTAGGGATTATATTAGAGTCTTTGTCTCGTCTTGTGCACTTAACTAATGCTGATTGCTTTACCGCGCATCTAGTAATCCGATCTTAGGTTGATTTGAGCCTCGACAGTGCTGTATCATTCGCCGGACATATTCTTTGACAAGCTAGGTTTCTTAGACTGCGAAAGTTGATCTATCTATATCTAGTGAACTGTATCAGAACCTATTCATTCTAATGCTTGATCTAATCACCTAGGGACATACCAAAAGTTTAGCGACTAGGTAGATTAGCAAAGGAGCCGGAGCCTCGAAAGTGGAATGGTTTTATATTCGTGATCTGTGTTCTAGATGGTTCTTAATATCCCAATATCCCTAATCAATTAATCTATCATTGTTTCATTGATCATTGCTTGCTTCTCTGCGATAGCCCCTATGACCTAGCGCTTTTCCTTTATTGCTTACAACCTCGTTATACTTGCTAGTTCGGTTCACCATTACAACCTCAATCATACTTTTGTTTTAGCTTGATCCAAAATCCATAGTTACAAAGTGTACTCAATAGCCAGTCCTTGTGTTCGATACCCATACTTCCGCGATCTGTGCACTTGCAGAGGTCTAGGAGTTTGGTAAAACCTGACTCCGCATCAACCGTCCAACAAGGAAGGCCTCGTCCCACGTCCGTCCCAGAACCTTCGACCAATTCATCCGCCCGGCTGACCCCAACGGCCGAACGAAGAATCTCTCGGCCACGATCGCCTGACCGTGCCGATAGCCGACCACGACCCAATAGCCGGCCGAACGTCCCGACCGACCGTCCGAACGGTCCGATCGACCCGAAGCCCGTTTTGAAGCCCGTTTCACACGTATTCAGGGCCCGACTTAACCTAATGCCGCCTCTGAAGACCTAGTACTATAAATACAACTTTTTAGCCTCTTGAGAAAGAGAGCCGCATATTGTATCACGATTTTACACTTAGAGTTTTGTTCTAGAGATTTCAAGGAGAAGATCTCTCCTCCTTAGTTCAATTTGGAGAAGCTTTCTAAACCTTTATCTATCTAAGATGTTTTCTTCATCTCTATGTGTTATTGCTTTGATCATGTCTGAGTAATCCACTAGTTAGGTTGCTAGGGTTACTAATCAATGAGTTGCTTGCATGATCTTTGATTTCGATGTTTAGCTAGGGATTATCTTAGAGTCTTTGTCTCGTCTTGTTCACTTAACTAATGTTGATTGCTTTACCGCGCATCTAGTAATCCGATCTTAGGTTGACTTGAGCCTCGAAAGTGATGTATCATTCGCCGGACATATTCTTTGACAAGCTAAGTTTCTTAGACTGCGAAAGTTTATTTACTATAACCTAGTGAACTGTATCAGAACCCGCCCGATCTAATGCTTCATTTAATCACCTAGAGACATACCAAAATTTTAGCGAGTAGGTAGATTAACAAAGGAGCCGGAACCTCGAAAGTGGAATGGTTTTATATTCGTGATCTGTGTTCTAGATGGTTCTTAATATCCCAATATCCCTAATCAATTAATCTATCATTGTTTCCTTGATCATTGCTTGCTTCTCTGCGATAGCCCCTATGACCTAGCGCTTTTCCTTTATTGCTTACAACCTCGTTATACTTGCTAGTTCGGTTCACCATTACAACCTCAAACCAATACTTTAGTTTTAGCTTGATCCAAAATCCATAGTTACAAAGTGTACTCAATAGCCAGTCCTTGTGTTCGATACCCATACTTCCGCGATCTGTGCACTTGCAGAGGTCTAGGAGTTTGGTAAAACCTGACTCCGCATCAACCGTCCAACAAGGAAGGCCTCGTCCCACGTCCGTCCCAGAACCTTCGACCAATTCATCCGCCCGGCCGACCCCAACGGCCGAACGAAGAATCTATCGGCCACGATCGCCTGACCGTGCCGATAGCCGACCACGACCCGATAGCCGGCCGAACGTCCCGACCGACCGTCCGAACGGTCCGATCGACCCGAAGCCCGTTTCACACGTTTTCACGGCCCGACTTAACCTAATGCCGCCTCTGAAGACCTAGTACTATAAATACAACTTTTTAGCCTCTTGAGAAAGAGAGCCGCATATTGTATCACGATTTTACACTTAGAGTTTTGTTCTAGAGATTTCAAGGAGAAGATCTCTCCTCCTTAGTTCAATTTGGAGAAGCTTTCTAAACCTTTATCTATCTAAGATGTTTTCTTCATCTCTATGTGTTATTGCTTTGATCATGTCTGAGTAATCCACTAGTTAGGTTGCTAGGGTTACTAATCAATGAGTTGCTTGCATGATCTTTGATTTCGATGTTTAGCTAGGGATTATCTTAGAGTCTTTGTCTCGTCTTGTTCACTTAACTAATGTTGATTGCTTTACCGCGCATCTAGTAATCCGATCTTAGGTTGACTTGAGCCTCGAAAGTGTTGTATCATTCGCCGGACATATTCTTTGACAAGCTAGGTTTCTTAGACTGCGAAAGTTGATTTACTATAACCTAGTGAACTGTATCAGAACCCGCTCGATCTAATGCTTGATTTAATCACCTAGAGACATACCAAAAGTTTAGCGACTAGGTAGATTAACAAAGGAACCGGAGCCTCGAAAGTGGAATGGTTTTATATTTGTGATCTATGTTCTAGACGGTTTTAATATCCCAATATCCCTACATCAATTCATCTATCATTGTTTCATTGATCATTGCTTGCTTCTCTGCGATTAGCCCCTGTTGACCTAGCGCTTCTTCCCATCTGATTTACAACTTGTTTACTTGCTAGTTCTAGTTACAATTACAACCTCCAATTATACTTTTGTTTTAGCTTGATCCAAAATCCATAGTTTCAAAGTGTACTCAATAGCCAGTCCTTGTGTTCGATACCCATACTTCCATCTGTGCACTTGCAAGGTCTAAAGAGTTTGGTAAAACCTGACTCACATCAAGTTTTTGGCGTCGTTGCCGGGGACTGCAGCAGTACCTTTGAATCTCGACTAGGATCTAGTCTAGAATCTTTAATTTTCTTGCTTGTTTTTGCTTTTGAATTTCTAGTTTTTGATTTCTTTTCTTTTGGCTTTTGTTTTTACTTTTGTTTTTCCCTTTTGATTTAGTTTGTTTCCTAGACTATTTTCAGGTGCATGACTAGGAAGTCTAACAAAGACAACCTAGTTGAACATCCGGAGATAGACAAGCTCGAGAAGTTACTTAGGAAGCAAAGAGCCAAGGAGATGGCCGACGAACCAGCTCGCGCTCATGCCGCCGAGGTAGCTCGAGCTAATGAAGAAGGAAGAGATCCACCTCCTCCTCAAAATCTACAAGATCCTGCTGGGGATGTTGATCGTGGGATCAGGTCTTCCCCTTTCCTATCCCTGATTCTGCAAGTGCACAGGTCAGAAGTAGTAAACGGGTATCGAACACGAGGACCAGATTGCACACTACAAACTATGATTGAGATCGAGCTAGGGCAAAAGTATAAGTTGGTTGAGTGCAATAAAGTAAAGGCATGCAAGTAATTAAAGAGATGAAATCAATAGGAGAGAGGGCTAAGCAATAGGATAGTCTTAAGATAAGCAATTCATGAAGCAAGAAATCAATCAATTAGGGTTACTGCAATTAGGTGCCAATCTAGAACTTGAAACACTATGGTATGATCATTCCACTGTCGAGGCTCCGACCCCTTTGTTAATCTACCTAGTCGCTAAACTTTTGGTATGTCCCTAGGTGATTAAATCAAGCATTAGTTCGATTAAGTTCAATTGTTCACAACCTACAAGTAAATCAACTTTCGCAGTCTAAAAGAGGTTGCCCACCAAATACTAGTTCAGGCGAATGATACAGCACTGTCGAGGCTCAAATCAACCTAAGGCATATGCTAATTGGCCAGATTAACAACAAGCATTAAGTATAAGCAAAGATGGAGATTATAAGTAAAACCCTAATTGTGATCAATCATCAAGCATACATGAATGCTATCCTTTGACTTCCTATCACTTAACAAGTAAACTACTCAGACATAGAGAAGGAACACGAATTCATATTCATAAGAACAGAGATTCGAATCCTCTCTAGAAAGAGAACAAGCAAGAACAAAGTAAAAGCAAGCAAAACTTTATTAAAGATGTAAAGTATAATTGTGGTCTCTCTCCTTCTTGAGTTACAAGGCTAAAAAGAAGTATTTATAATGCTCTAAGTATGAAAAAGCGGCTAGACCTAATCTTGCTAGTCGGCGCCGGCTTTGGGCTTGAATTGTGCGGATTGGGCTTCAAAAACGGCTTCGGGTCGACCGCGGCGTTCGGACGGTCGGTCGGGACGGTCGGCCGGACAGTCGGGTCGTGGGTGATCGGAACGGTCGTGGCCGGAATTTCGGTCGGCCGCTGTGGTCGGACGGTGAAGGATTGGCCGATGTTTCTCGGCCGGACGCGGGCGTAGCTTCCCGGCTCGGACGGACCATCGGCCGTGGTACGCGAGTAGGTTGCGCGGCCGCGAGGCGTTGTTCCCGGCTCGCGCGGCGTTGTCGTGCGCGGCATGGTCGTGCGCGAGTGGTTGTGCCGACCGCGGGACATTGTTTCCCGGGTCGTGATGCGTGATCGGCCGGATGTTGAACTTTGGCCGAGACTTCAGACGGACGGATGATTTTGGCCGAGCGCGGAACATTCGTTCCTCGGCCGGCTGCTGCGGTTGGCGCTGATTCTCGATAGAGCCGTCTGGACAGTCTTCACTCTTTTGGCTATAACTCCTTTTCTACTCATCCAAATGAGGCCGTTCCACTTGCGTTGGAAAGTTAACTCAATCAGAGCACGCAGGGAACTGGTCTTGATGAAATCCATTGAGTAGATCTTTTTTAGCTCCATCCAAAGTTGATGCAGTGGCATTGAACTGGTTTGAAGTCCAAATCCTCTGTTTTGCTCCATAATGCACCTTTTTACCTAAAATGACTCTTTGCAGTATAAATCCATAAAAACTACCTTTTAACACAAGAATCCACTAGAAAACCATTAGAAAACCATAGTAAAATAGCATAAAAAGTATGTAAAAAAGCTAGATTTTTTTTTTTTTTTTTTTTTGGATTGGAATCTGAACTGAATCCGTCGGAGACGAACTGCCTACGTATCTCTTGCGTGAATCAAGCCGTGCGTAGTTCCGAGTGACGAGCGTTGAGTGGCTCTAATGGTAATACTTCTTCAAGTGCATCACGTTCCAGGGCTTCTGTATCGTTTTTCCATCCATAGTTTCAATTCTGTAAGCGCCGGGTCACACGATGTCGGTGATTCTGTAGGGACCTTCCCAGTTCGCGCCCAACTTTCCTGCGTTAAGTTCGGCGGTGTTCTGTAAAACTTTCCGGAGGACCAGGTCTCCTACTCTGAATCTTCTGCTTCGAACATTGGTGTTGTAGTACCTAGCCGTTGCTTGCTGGTAGTTTTGGATGCGGATTAGTGCACCGTCGTGTCGTTCGTTCACCAAGTCCAGCTCGTCGAGAAGCATCAAGTGGTTAAGTCCTTCCTGCTCCGGTAAAAGCCGTCGACGAACTCCTGGGAAGTGTATCTCGGATGGGATCGAGCTGGTGCTGTAGTGACGGGGTTGATCGAGCTACTGTTGCGGTAACGGGATCGATCGAGCTACTGTTGCAGTGACGGGATCGATCGAGCTGGTGCTGCAGTAACGGGATCGATCGAGCTCCCGTTATTACTGTGTATCACTGTGTATGTTATTTTATGGCTGGAGTAACGGGATCGATCGAGCTACTGTTGATCGAGTTGGTGCTGCAGTAACGGGATCGATTGATCTACTGCGGTGGCAGAGCTCGTATCAATTCAGGTCGCCTTACTTTAGCTCTTCTTCCTTGCCATACGTCATACTTTATTGTTGAACTCGACGGGAAGTATTCCGACCCCAACAGTTAGCCCCCCAGCTCGTTGATCTTGAAGTCAAGATCGACGAGTTGAAGAGCAAATAGTCGAGATCATCGATCAAATAGTTGATGGGCTTGGGCCTCCATGTTAAACATCTTTCCCTGCCGTCTTGATGCGCCCCTGGACTAGATCGACTATGAAGGTAAGTGAATGAATGGATCAGATCACAAAGAAACCTATGGTGAATGGATGATCGGATGAAATGATGAAGTGAATGGCTATAATAGAGATCCAGCGGAAGAGATCTCTAACACCGCCTCCAACGTGTTGATATTACACACAACAAGTGAGAGGAAATTCTGTGGACTTAGTTGATATTACGCACAACAAGTGGACAGAAGAATGATCAAACAAAAAGAGAGGTTTTGATAATAGATTGATTGATAAGTTTCAAAGAGAGAAAGGACTAGGGTTTTAAAGAGAGAGAGAAGAGAGAGAGATGGGAACAAGCTCCAATCATCTCGAGAACAAACAAAACATAAATGAAACAAAGACTGAGAAATCGACCCTTCAGTTCTTGGCGCTCTCCTTTGAATCTCTTGGGCACACAAAAGAGAGATTTGGAAGTGTGCTTGGGCCTCGTTAAAAACCTTGTCAAGAAAACCCAAAGGGACAAAACTTGACAAGGGAAAAAGAGCACACCAACACACTTGTCTCTTTATCCCATGTAAGGCCTTCAAGCAAACCAGAGTAGTTGGCTTGGTTCTTGTTGGTTCAAGGCGCTAAGGACTTTGCCAATTGCTTGGTTTAGTGCCTTAGTTCGTGAACGAGTGATTGGGCCAGTTGGAATGGCTAAGCTCTCCTCAGGTACAAGCTGCTCTGCTTCAAGTCCCTCCTCGGCCACTAGCTGCTCCATTCCATCTTCTTCCTCGGCCAAAGCTGTTTTTCCTGAACCTCCTCGTCCATGATCGCATCATCCCCTCCCTCTTGAAAAGGATTTGACCTCAAATCTGGTTCATCTGCAAGAAAAGGAGATAAGTCAGCAACATTAAAACTAGGACTGATATTGTACTTACCTTGGAGATCAACTCTATAAGAGTTATTGTTGATTCGCTTGGTGACTGTGAAAGGGCCATCAATGCGCGGCATTAGCTTGGACTTGCGCTCGGCTGGGAACCTTTCTTTGCGAAGATGAATCCAAACTTGATCTCCAGCTCAAAGATTAGTTCGCGCCGTCCCTTGTTGGCCTTCTTTGTGCATACTGCTTGTCTTTTCCTCAATATTCTTCTTTGCCTGCTCATGTATCTTCTTCACATCTCAGCTCTCTTCTGTCCATCTGCACTCAATCTTTCACTCAAAGGCAGAGGCATTAAATCCAAAGGTGACAGGGGTTTGAACCCATAAACAATTTCAAAAGGAGAGAACTTGGATGCTGAATGCACAGAATGATTATAAGCAAATTCTATATGAGGCAAGCAATCATCCCAATTCTTAAGATTCTTTTTAAGCAGCACACGCAACAGGGTTCCTAAAGTCCGGTTTACAACCTCAGTTTGACCATCAGTTTGGGGATGACAAGTGGTGGAAAACAAGAGCTTAGTCCCTAACTTAGACCACAAGGTTTTCCAAAAGTAACTAAGAAATTAGTGTCACGATCAGAAACAATGGTGCGCGGCATGCCATGCAATCTAATGACATCTTTAAAGAACAATGCAGCAACATGAGATGCATCATCAGTTTTATTGCATGCAACAAAATGAGCCATCTTAGAAAATCTATCCACAATCACAAAAATGGAATCCTTTCCATGTCTAGTTCTGGGTAAACCAAGAACAAAGTCCATGGAAACATCAGTCCAAGGTTGTGATGGAATAGGGAGAGGAGTATACAAACCGTGGGGTTGGACCTTGGATTTGGCCAACTTACAAGTGGTGCAGCGAGCACATATGTGCTCCACATCTCTAATCATGTGTGGCCAATGAAAATGATCTCTCATGATCTGTATGGTCTTGGCAACTCCAAAATGTCCCATAAGTCCTCCTCCATGTGCTTCCCTGACAAACAAGTCCCTCAAAGAACAATTAGGCACACACTGGCGGTTCTCATAAAAGAGAATCCATCCGAAGATGAACTGCCTACGTACCTCTTGTGAGGATCAAGTCACGCGTAATTCTAAGTGATTCCGAGATGGATTTTTTTTTTTTTTGGTCCCGAGCTGGATTTTTTTATTTTTTTTTTGAATCAGAACTGAATCCGTCGGAGACGAACTGCCTACGTATCTCATGCGAGAATCAAGCCATGCGTAGTTCCGAGTGACGAGCGTTGAGTGGCTCTAATGGTAATACTTCTTCAAGTGCATCACGTTCCAGGGCTTCTGTATCGTTTTTCCATCCATAGTTTCGATTCTGTAAGCGCCGGGTCGCACGATGTCGGTGATTCTGTAGGGACCTTCCCAGTTCGCGCCCAACTTTCCTGCGTTAAGTTCGGCGGTGTTCTGGAAAACTTTCCGGAGGGCCAGGTCTCCTACTCTGAATCTTCTGCTTCGAACGTTGGTGTTGTAGTACCTAGCCGTTGCTTGCTGGTAGTTTTGGATGCGGATTAGTGCACCGTCGCGTCGTTCGTTCACTAAGTCCAGCTCGTCGAGAAGCATCAAGTGGTTAAGTCCTTCCTGCTCCGGTAAAAGCCGTCGACGAACTCCTGGGAAGTGTATCTAGGATGGGATCGAGCTGGTGTTGTAGTGACGGGGTTGATCGAGCTACTGTTGCAGTAACGGGATCGATCGAGCTACTGTTGCGGTAACGGGGTCGATCGAGCTACTGTTGCAGTAACGGGATCGAGCTACTGTTGCAGTAACGGGATCGATCGAGCTACTGTTGCAGTGACGGGATCGATCGAGCTGGTGCTGCAGTAACGGGATCGATCGAGCTCCCGTTATTACTGTGTATCACTGTGTATGTTATTTTATGTCTTGAGTAATGGGATCGATCGAGCTACTGTTGATCGAGCTGGTGCTGCAGTAACGGGATCGACTGATCTACTGCGGTGGCAGAGCTCGTATCAATTCAGGTCGCCTTACTTTAGCTCTCCCTTCCTTGCCATACGTCATACTTTATCGTTGAACTCGACGGGAAGTATTCCGACCCCAACACCGTTGCCGGGGACCAATTCGTCACCTACAAGCTCCTGCAAGAGAGCTAGTCTAGGGTTTCATCTTTTTCCTTTTTAGTTTTGTTATTTTTCCTTTTCCTTTTGATTTGGTTTTCCATTTTGTTTTTGATCTTTTTCATGCTTTCCTAGTTAGATATGGAAAAGGATTCACAAGTCCTTGTTCCTATAAAGGCGATTCCACTTCACCAAATACCACCTTAAAGAGACCTCTTGGACGAACAAGAGATGTCAAGCCCTCAAGCACCACCACCTTCTTGGGATAGTCCTCCAAAACTATCCTCCTTGAAGACCAAGAAGAAACTTCTTCCCTACCTTGAAGCAGCCGACCTGGAGACGTCTAGCCAAGCCGCATCTTACAGAGAACAATACCTTCTAGCCACGCCAGAAAAGGAGATTGACCCTGAGCTGATCGAGTTCGTGAAGAGAGATCAATTCCATGATCTGTTTTCAGAGTATGCGCTGGAGCATGTGGATCACTTTGATAATCTTTGTGATTCCTATGGAGTTTTTGACTTTGAGAAGAAGATGATGCTATTCAGCACATCACTAGCTGGACCAGCACTAGATTGGGCGCAGCACTAGATTGGACCAGCACTATTCAGCACCAGAACAACTGCGAAAGCATTTGCCAAGGATGTTTTCATTAATCAAGAACGAAAGTTGGGGGCTCGAAGACGATCAGATACCGTCCTAGTCTCAACCATAAACGATGCCGACCAGGGATCAGCGGATGTTGCTATTAGGACTCCGCTGGCACCTTATGAGAAATCAAAGTTTTTGGGTTCCGGGGGGAGTATGGTCGCAAGGCTGAAACTTAAA